ATAATTGTGTTGTAGTTACGTCCTTTTGTTTCAAAAAATATCATGTCAAAAGGACGTAACTGAAATAAAACCTTTAAAAACAAAAAAAAAAATATTTTTTTCAAAAAATAAATACGGCTCTATAATGCAGTTATACTTTGAAAACATTTCCAGCCATACTCCATTTTTGTTAAGTGTGTAGATTTGCTTTGTCTGATCCTCATTTGTGTCTCCCCATAAAATTTTTGCGTTTTTCCCAATTCCCTCGTTATTCCAAAGAATTTTGTAGGTCGGTAGGTTGTACTTCTGGCGAGTATATTTGCTATCCCGAGTCATATAGGAATGACTCGGTACCCATATGATTCGTGCGAGACCATGTCCCGAGAAATTATTTATAGTTTTTATACATTCAGTTTCGATTTAACTATTTCAGAGGTTATAGTTTTTATGGCTTGTTTACTGTCTAACTTCGTTAGCGATCCTACACCCTCACAGTGATCCTAAATCCAAGTTTCAGGATTCCAACTCTATCGGTTCACCCACAATTTACATTGTACCAAATTTAATACACAGTAATACCAATTTCCAAAACTTCCTACATACCCCAATCCTACACCCCCACAGTGATCCCAAATCCAAGTTTCAGGATTCCAACTATATCACCCACAATTCAAGCTGTACCAAATTTAGTACACAGTAGTACGAACTTCCAAAACTTCCTACACTCCACAAACCTTCACCCCCACAGTGATCCTAAATCCAAGATTCAGGATTCCAACTCTATCTGTCCACCCACAACTCAAATTATACCAAATTTAGTACACAGGTGTACCAATTTCCAAAACTTCCTACATACCCCAATCCTACACTCTCACAGTGACCCTAAATCCAAGGTTTAGGATTCCAATTCTATCAGTTCGCCTACATTCAAATTGTTCGAAATTTAGTACACAGTAGTACCAATTTACAAAACATCCTACATACCCTATTTTTACACCCCCACAGTGTTCCTAAATCCAAGTTTCAGGATTCCAACTCTATCGGTTCACCCACAATTCAAATTGTACCAAATTTAGTACACATTAGTAATTTTTTTTAAAAATTCCTACATATCTCGATCTTACACCTCAACAGTGATCATGACTCCAAATTTCATGATTCCAGCTCTATTGGTTCGCCTATAATTCATATTGTACCAAATTTAGAACCCATGAATATAAATTGCATTAACTAACTGAATCCTGACCCCAATCCTACACCCCTACAGTGATTCTGACTCCAAATTTCATTGTTTCCGCTCTATCGGTTCATCCAAATCCAAGTTGTACCAATTATAGTACGATTTAGTACTTTTCGTACACATCAGTAAACAATTTCCAAAACTACGTACATATCCCATTCCTACACTCCGACGGTAATGTTAATTTCAAATTTCAGGATTACAGCTCGATTTGTACCTCCAACATAAATTTGCATCAAATATAGTACCATATAGTACTTTTCGTACACATGAGCACACGCTTTCAAAACCATCTTCCTAAATTGAGCCTACTTCTCAAGCTTAATTCACAATCCAAATTTCAAGTTTTTAGCGCTATCCGTTCACATGCTACGAAATTGTACCAAATTTAGTACATTTTCGTACTTTTCGAATAGTTATAGCTCGAATTTCCAAAAACCCTTTGGTACATGTAGGATATATGTACCAAATATATGTACTCCATCAAGGACTACCAACCCAAATTTTAGAGTTCTAGCTCCACCGGTTCGCCAAATACAAATGGTATCACATTTAGTACTTTTTAGTACTTTTCGTACAGTTCTAGTACGAATTTCCAAAAAACCAGTTTTATCTGTCACATTTGGACCAAGAGTGACCCTCACTCAAAATTTCAAGATTCTAGCTTCGGCCGTTTCGTCTGGGCGTTGATGAATCGTTTAATCAGTCAGTCAATCACTTTACTCTTTTATTAATATAGATATCCTGACCAGAGTTTGCACTAAACCAGTTCAGATACTCCGTTATAGACTGAACCTTCGCCTGTAGGATCGTATTGTGATCAGATCCCATTCCCGAGCTCACTGCTAGCTGGGAGCCATCTGTTTAGCAACAGTTACCAAGGTATGTTTGCCAGTGTTCTGCTATCCCACGAGTCCCTGTTTCACATGTTGTGACTACTCTTATTTCTTATAGCATATGAGGGCTTCGTCTATCCGTTCCGGTAGGTTGTCTTTCTATTTAAGTTTTCTGTCTAGGACGACCGCAGTATATTTAACAATATATGACATGGTTACCACATTGTTTTGAAAGATGGGTACTTCATACTGTCCTATTTTGTCTTTCTAGTAAAGAGTCACATTTTCGCCATTAAGGTCCCTCGGCCTCGTTCAATACAGTCTTCCTACATAATCAGTTAGGATTCGTTCTCCTCAGAAATCATTATAACGTCATCAGCAGACGGGTTTAAAGTCCTCCCCTGGTAAGGTCCTTAAGAGACTGTGATAGTGGTAATCCACAGTGATAAAAATCCCCCTGCGGTGTTCCTTGTCCTACTTTGTCCCTGATATGTATGTCTTGTTGGCTACAACTCGAAAGGCCTCTAAGGATTGAATAAGTGTTTCAGTGCCGATACTATTGAAAGCTCCCTCGATACCAATGCATACTGCTAAAGTAAACATTTTCTTCTCGAATGTGCTTTCAATGTCGTGCACCACCACGTGCAAACCGGTTCCACTGATCTTCCCTTTATGCACACGTGTAATTTGTACCATGCTATTTATCATGATCTCGACTGATCGTTTCATATTTTGCGCAAGAAAGAATATATGCTTATTGGCAGATAGTATTTTGGTGTTGCGTAGTTTGCTTTGGCGAGCTTTGGTATGAAGTCTATCCTAGCATCCTGCCAGGCTTTCAGAGTGTACGAAAAAAGTAAACATGTGTTAAAGAGTTCTGATAAATATGGTGTTATATAATCCGCCCCGTTTGTAGTGGGGAAGGCGTTGACTGAATCAGCTGTTCTGAATGATGCGAAGGTCTTTAATGCACCATTTGTCTATCAATCTTAGGTTCCACATATTTTTCCTCATCTAGAACTATTATTTCATCAGATGACGATGTGTTCGATGGAAATGAGCTTTCTCGAGAAGTCTTACTGTTTCTTCTTCTGTCTCTATTCTGTTTCCACCCTCTACATCTACCATGTTTTCGTTTTGAGTGTGGGTTTTTTCTGAGACGTCATATGTTAACAAAAAAATGTCCAGAGGTTGTGTTTACTATGTTTATGGTCAGAGAAGGATGTTGACAACTCTGGGGAGGAGAGAAAAGTTTTTGTGGCATATCACATAGGTTCTTGGACGGGAACCTTGGTTTGCATAAGACATTTGGTAGTGTATGTGGATTAACCCAGAGACGTTGTTTTTAACAATCCAAGGTATCTGTATTAACCCAAAGTGTATATTCACTCCGATGGAGGTATGCCTGCGTGGCCGTTGCATAAACCTATGGTTAGGATACACGTTAAGATCAGCTAGGTTAACACTATAAAAGATTCACCCTTCGAATAATATTACAAAAGAAGATATTCCATTCGTTTCGCGGATTGATGGATCACATCTTTGGAATTTATCAAGGTTAGAAATCGGATATTCCATTCCCTTTATGTTGGATTTACAAATTTTTAAATTATTGTCATTTTGTGAGGAATGTACTAGAAGGTATATGCCGATGGGTCCAACCTTGAGACTCGATAAAGGCTAAAGCTTGTTACAACGGCCCGGTTTGGATCAAACCGCACATTCCATTTGCTTGATATTGGATTTAAAATTTGTTGGCAATTTCTGAGGGAGGTAATCCGTTACATTACATTATAAAATGCAGCAGAATGTTGACCATTTTCCCATTTTCGACTTTTGTAAATAGACTTTCAATTTTATGAAACTGATTTGGCCGAAAGAAACCATGGGTCTAAAATTGATATTTCGACGAGGCACATTTTTATGGTAGCAACGTTCATTAGCCATAAAAAAGGGTTTGCAAAAAGGGTATTATTTGGAGACTGTACCTTAAAGCGATTTGACGACATTGGTCACTATTGGTAGGTATATTAACTATCCACTGGGAACCAAAAATATAAAATTGAGAAACGTATCCAAATACTTAAATATCGACAATTTCGGGGAACGGTTATGAGGGGTCTACACCTAAAAGTGGACAGATATTAATATGATAACTCAAATTATAAAATTACAGTCCATAAAATACAGCAAATTTAGGGGTGTCGTTATATGATGGCAGACAAAATATTCCTTCGGAAGTTATTGTTATTTACCCTAGCATATAAACTAATATATCTTCCACATTATGGTGGAGGGTATAAAAGAAGACTATAGTTTCCAACCGAAATTAGCTTTAAAACGTAGGTGGGATAACATTGACGTGCGCGAAGTATCAGCAATTCAAGAGGTATTAATGTTGACTACATACGTTATGAAAATAATTTACATTCCCCATTAATCTAAGCATTTAAAAACTACTTCCCTTTTTCTTGACGCAAATCACAAACTCTGTCGTATTCCAAAATACATATTCATTATTTAAAAAAAAAAAAACTATATCCGTCGTAATCTCCTGCTAATTCATCTGTTAAATTACAATTTCGAAGTCACATTTGCGACAACGAAAAACTATCAAAATTCGTTTTATATGTGTTTGGATAATTTTAAGTTATTTGTTTTTATTTAAATTATATTAGACACGCACTTAAATATCGATGATATACAATAAATAGTAGGCAAGTAACTAATATTTCGAATAGGTGAATATTATAATAATTATATAGTGGCCTAATGACTCTCTTCACGCTAAATTTGAATAAATTATTAAATTTATAGTTTGGTTAATTGTCTTAGCGTCATGTCATGTCAATTCTTTTTTAAATGAAATTTAAATAAATTCTAATTATATATTTATGGCCAATGGGGATTTGCATACATGATTAATATTTACTCATTCTTTGTACTTAAGGGAATACAAATTTAGTAATTTCAGCACGCAAACAGGTGAAGATTGTGTAGGCTGCTTCACAATTGTTCTTTACGCCCACAGCTGCATCTTTACACTTGGCCAAACCGGCCCTGTATTCTTCCTTGTAATGATCGGGCATGAGGATTTCCACTTGTTTCAAAGAGGCTTCATAAAGGAATTTACCTTTTTTCATCTGTTTTATATAAAATATTAGAATGTAATCATACAAAAAAATTTTTTTTTGGGTTCCTACCGTTTGCATCATTTCCAAGATACAATTAACGTAACACTTAGCATCCTTATCATTGGGCAAATTACCAGCTCGAATACCATCAGCAATTTCTTTGGTCACTTTGGGAAATTTCGGCAAGCACACATCACGCATCAGACCTCCGGCGGCCCACATCTGTTCCTCAGTTGCCTGTGAGGAAAAAATTAATCTTCTTATTTCGGTTCATGGTAAAATTTTAGTTCTTTTCGTGATAGAAGAATTAAAAATTGTCTATAACGTAATTAAATGGCAAATACAACACATTTTGGATAACTAGTTCTTTAATTAACTTATTGACCATAAATACAATATTTTTTTGAAGCAATTAGAGCCAATTCGGTTAAAGGAAGAAACACCTAGCAACAAAAGGGATAGAACCGAGAAGAAGATAATCAACTCTAAAGACGACCGTTTACTGGGGGACAAGTGACAGAAGTTATCCAGGTAAACCTCCATCGGAGTGAGAAGGCTATACTGGCTCTGATGGAAAGAATAGTTAAAGGCAATTGGACGGTAAAAAAACAAGGTCTCTGGACTAAACCACAATAATAATACCAATAATTTTATGCAAATACAGATTCCCGACAAGAACAGGTCTCAAACCACATAGCGTGGAGTAGTACTACCAAACTACTATCAAAAGAGGCCAAGCCCTCTTACATTTTATTAATATAATATATATTAATAGGATCACCCAGCTAGCGAAATCACCTGTTTTTCTCGAGACATATGTCAAAAATGTGCATTTTGTTTACGTGTTTAAAATGGAAGTCCATTCACAATTAGGTATTTTGACAGTACTTACGATCTAATAACACCTAACATAGCCAATAAACCGACCGTCGTTAATAGAACCTAAGATGAAGTATTAGACATAACTATATGGTCAGAAAACTTAATAGACGAGGTTCAATAATGGAGAGTCTCACAAGAGTACTCTTTTTCTGACCTGACATAAATATATTTGGTTAAAAATTTCACGGCCACAGCCAAAAACAATATTCATCCGAAACAAGCCTAAGACTGACTGGGTAAAATTCGGGAGACTGATAAAAGAGAAGTTAGGATAGCCCAACTATGAAACCCTAAACACAGATGATATAGGCAGAAATATAAACGATTTGATCTTTGAGGAAACCGCAGAATCGATTTTCGAGTTTCTTCGCAAATGTTTTGTTTATTATCAGAAAGCCAAAATTACCCAATAATTACATATACTACAAAATTTTTAATTAGTCGGTGAAATTCGAAAGACGATTTTGAACAGGTTTGACAAAATCGAATGATCAAAAAGTCAACATTTTAGTCAAAGGCCGAAATCGAAAATCTAAAAATCTACCTTTTGGTAAGTGACAAAAATCGAAAAATTTAAATGTCGTATTTTGTGCTCGACTGCGTAAGAGGAAAGAATATAACAAATAATATAACGACAAGAACCGCAAAATGCAACTTCCACACTAAGAGGAAAGAATATAACAAAACGACAAGAACCGCAAAATGCAACTCCTGGAAAATTGTCTGTAGGCAGGTAAATATGTAGTGTAGATGACTTCTCAAAAAATAGAGATGTTTCTATCAAAACCCACTCACCGAAAACACGGGAAACAGAATAGAGACAACAGAAGAAACAATAAGACTCCTTATGAAAGTTCATTTCCCACCGAACACATCGACATCTGATGAAACAACGGCACTAAGGGGTGAAGGTACGAGAAACATAAGAATGATTGACAAATCGTGCGTAATGTATTGAAGACCTTCGCGTCATTCAGAGCATTCAGACCAGTTAACCAGTATAACAACATGCTAAGGAATAAATGGATAAACTGTAGCCTACGAGACATACATATCAGTGACAAAGTAGGACAAGGAACTACGAAGGATGGAATTTTATCACCGCTGTTGTGGGTTACCGCTATCAACAGTCTCTTCAAGACCTCAAACGTAGAGGGATTTGAATCCATCTGTTATGCAGACGATGTTATAATACTTCTGAGGGGAAAGAATACCAACTTGTTATATAAGAAGACTGAAACGGCGTTAAACATCGCCTATAATTGGGCGAGGACAAGGGGCCTTAACTAAAATCCGGCCAAGGCAAAAATATGTCTCTTCACTAGGAAGACAAAAATAGGACTGTATAAAGAACCAATCTTTGAAAACAAAGTGATAAATACCTGGAGGTCATCCTAGACATAAAACTTAAATGGAAAGATCTCATACAGGAACGGGTCGACCCACAGATGCTGGTCTTTCTACAGAAGACCGGTAGTCTCTAAATGGGGCTTCAATGCAAAGATGATACACTGGGTTTATTAGAGCGTTATTAGACCAATTCTAACATACGCCTCGGTAGTCTAGTGGATAGCAATGGACAATAAATTAAGTATAAAATCGATACAGAAAGTCCAGGTAGGTATATGTGGGGCAATGAGGACAACACCAAAGAGCTTTGGGTGTCAAATGGATATAGATATATATATATATATATATATCCAATTGACACAAATAAAATATGAAGCGGCCGTCGCAGCTTTCAGACTTAATACTGTGAACGAGTGGATCAAAACCGAACACAATAGACCGCATCAAAATATAGTACAAGCCAAAATTGGAACCTCAATCATTAGCTTTGGTTCCGACCGAATACCTGAATTAAGAACTGACATAAGAGTAGTCTCAATATGTGAAACTTTGACAACAGAGAGGGGCTCATTGTATAGCGGAACACTAGCAAACATGCCTCCCATGGATACTGTTGTCACACAGATGGCTCCCAGCTAGTTGGGAAGTCGGGAATGGGATTTTTCATTGAACAAACATTACTTCGACTACGGCTATTACAATAGAATAGAATCCTACAGGCGGAGGTTCAGGCGATAACGTAGTGTCTGAACTGATATTTTGGCAACTATGGTCAGAATATAACAATATGATGACAGATAGTACGATAACCATTAAAACTATAACCTCTAAAACAGTTTAATCCAAAACTGTAAAGAATCATATGAGTACCGAGGAACATAAGAATAATAGGATAGCAAATATACTCGCCATAAGTGCCACCGACAAACGTACAATAGATGTAAATAATGCCAAACCTTTCAGTGCAACACGCCCAGAACTAAGATCATGGGCAACGAAAACCCACAAAATTATTGGGAATAGTGAGGGGGGCTGGAAAAAATACCAATAATGGTGGGGGGAGACCCAAAAGTAGATAAGCAAAAATTAATGCCAAGCAGGACATATTCTAACAGGACATAACAATCTGTGCACAAGATTGTATGCGAGGGAAAGAACTAGTGTAGAGCGTGTGGAGAAGACAGCAGAATGTTAGAACACTTCGAGTGCCACTGCTCAGACTTGTCAAGCTTCCGAACCAATTCTTAGGAAGTGACAGCTTTCGTGAAATAGCCGACCTTAAGGGATGCGAATAGAAGAAACTTAAGGACTTCACAAACAAAAAATAATTTCTAGAAGATTAGGACTACTAAGATGACTACTTTGAAATTTCTTTCTTCTATAGAGCGCCCAACAGGCCACTTACAGGCTTAAGTGTATGTCCTCATGTGGTGGTATAAACCACACATCTTTTCAACATAACCTACCCAAACTCCCCAAAATACCGAATGTTAGGGGATACATTTATGGCATTCCGATCTTTTGAAGATAGAAAAACATATTTCCGAAAAAAATTATTGTGAATTTTCCGTCTCATTTTAGACGGTCCAAACTTCGATTACTTAACTTCGATTTCTTTAAGTATAAACAATTCAGTATTAATACAAGTTTTGACAGACCCAATATATGAAGCCCCATCAAGTTTAAACATTATAAGCATTGGTTTTTTTTTCAGAGTATAAAATACTACCTCGCAGAAATTTTTTCAATATAGGTCTCATTTTAGGTCCCCGTTTTCGTATAGCCCGCATACAAATGTACATTATAACGATCTGTATTTAGGGCATTTTAAATACGTTTAACAAACAAATTGACTACACTTTAAGTTAATTTTAAAAATGTAAGGAGAATTCTCAACCATACAAAGTTACATATTCTCCTTTGAGAAAATGTTGCTATAGGTCCACTTCTCAACTATATCTGAACGTTTTGTCACACTTTCCAGCATCATTCCCTAGTTCCAAGTGGGATTAAAAACTTCCATGCAAATCCATAAATAGCAATGGAGGATATACCAAGTTCGGTATTGTTTGAAGGATGATTCCAATGTCACACATATTTCACTTTAGAATATGAATATGTATGTTCTTGTACATATTTATTTATATCGTTTTTACAAGAAAAAAACACTCTACTCATATTATTTTTTTGATTCAATCTATCCTTAACAGGATATTGTTATCATCACATTTATCACTTACACCACCAAGGACATCTTCGACATAACACAAACACACCACAGCACAAATTGCAAAAACAATATTCATTTTCGAAATCATATTTCAATATTGATTTAAAATCACCGAAAGACACGACAATGGTTTACGATATGATTCGTAAGAAGTTTCAAAAGTTATTAGATGAAATCAATCGTGAAACAATAGCTTTATATGCAAATCATTTAATATATTTTAAACATACAATCAGACGCACATACATACAGTGAGTGTTTGATTGTATGTTTGCCATACAACAAATATTAATCTGTCTGGCTGGCCCTACAATCAGATATGGGTGAATGTATGTCATTAAGTAATAAAAAAAAAGTTGTAGAGAACGACAAGATGTCGTTGACATGTTATACGTAGCCGAGACCAAGACACACACACTCACACAAAATATAAGACAAAATAAAAAATTAAAATAATTTTAAGGTATAAATCTAACCTCTAGACCATTTCGGATATATATTGTATTGTATGTATGTTTATTTAAATGGATGCACGTAAGAATGAGTTACAATAGGTTGTAAGGAGAAACATTTCATAAATCTACACAAATTAGAATAGTTGGTAGAGGTAAAGTAGAATCTGGGGTATTTGATACACAGGACATGTTGAAACAGCGGGTTGTAATTGGAGCGCACAGTGTCACGACCTCGGCCAAAAATGGTAAAAACCAAGTACATAGGAGCACAAATTTATTGATGAGAATTGATAGAAAACATTCCAGTTAGGAATAATATGAATTTTGGTAGTGATACGTCAAGTAGTTTAGCCTGTACGAGGGTTCAAATCTGATAGTTTTTGGCAATCGGCATTTTTCTATTTTTTTCGGAAAATTGACACTTTTTTCATATGTTCAAAAATTTGAATATTAAAAGTAACGGTTATAAAAAAGTGTTTATTTTAGTTACTTGGGATGTCAAAAACTTGGCTTCACATTTGTTTGGGTGTAAATAGTGATCATATGGTGTTTACAGTTACAAACACCTGTTGTACTTAGTTCATCTATTTTGTAAAGCAAATCTTGAAATTAGTGGAGTAGAAAAAAAAAGGTTAAAAAAGTTTAGTCTACATTTTTGTTGATTTTAGTTGTGAAAAGTATGTATTTTTAACCTATAAAAAAATTAGCTGCGGAAACCTGCGGTCCTAAGAGTTATTTGCTTTTTTTAGTGACCACCTCTTTAAAAAACTGTGACATATTTTTGGAATGGTTAGAAGTAAAGGATCAAAGTATGTCACATGTTCTGGCAAAACTTAAAGAATTTATTGAGGATCGAATTGGAAGGAAAATGACGGGCGAAGAACACATAAAGGTTAAAAATATTTGCTACAAATTGTCTTCTACGTGGAAAAAATACTATCGAAAGAGGGATAAAGTAGAAATGGTCTTAAAAGATTGGTTTCTTATGGATACGTTTAAATTTGATTCGGTACATTTGAAGATTATTTTTATTAAACCAATTATTTAAAAACTTTTAAATATTTAGGAACCTGATAAGTCTACATCAAGAGGTCGACCACGCATTAACTTTGAGGAAAGTTCATGTAGAACAAAAAGGCGACGTGTAGGTGAACTTGTTGCATCTACTTCGGCGGACATCAAAACAACAGCTGCAAAAAGATTTTCGAATGTAAAGGAAACGGACATTATTTCAGTGGAAAAAGCATTGGCGCTCTACGTGGATATGGATTTATCAGTTAGACAGTATAACATGATGAGAAATGCTGTAAATGCTATACATAAAAATTGTTTCCCATCGTATTATGCTATAGCAGAAGCTAAGAAAAAATAATATAACTTTAGAATGTAAATGGGGATTTGATGGCAGCAGTGGTCATAGCCTCTATAAACAAAAATTTCGAAACGAAGACGCAACAGATGAATTTATGTTCGTTTCTTCATTTGTGCCCTTGCGTATTTTAGATGATACAAACGAAAATGTCTTGTGGCAGAACGACAGGCACTCATCTTCAAGGCTATGTAGACCTATTAAAATACTTTATAGGAACGGTATATCTAGTTTACACGCCTGGATTAAGTTTTTTGAGTGCATTGTTCATATTGCATATAAACTACCTGTCAAGACATGGCGAATTGATAGTAGAAACACAATATTAGTGAATGAAAATAAAATCAGGATACGAAGAGCATTAAAAACAAATCTAGGTCTTCTTGTCGACAAAATAAAACCGGGCTACGGGACATCAAATGATGGAAATACAGCTCGACGTTTTTTTCAAACATTGAAGTAGCGGCAGATATTACCGGGGTCGACAGAAGATTAATTTACAATTTTTCCCTCATTTTGCGGATTTTGTCTTGTGGGAGATTTATAAATATAAATTTATTTCATAAGCTTCTTCAAGATACATGGCAACTTTACATCGAGTTATACTCTTGGTATTACATGCCATTCACGGTGCATAAAATTTTAGTTCATGGCATTGGATATGTAAGGTACAGTACATCCCCTCTTGGACTGCTTTCGGAAGAGGCTATCGAGTCATGCCATAAAATAATTAGGAGCAACCGTTTGAAACACACCCGAAAATGTGGTAGAGTCGAGTCAAATAGGGATTTAATTCAGTATTTGATACTACAATCGGACCCTGTAATATCCTTGAACAGTCATAATATATTGGCCAGAAATTATAACATGGAAGACATTAAATCATATATTTGTGAAGAAAATAACTTAAATATTCCGGAAATATGTTATGAAGATGAATCTGATGATTGCAGTGAGGTATGTAGTGAATAGTGTATTTCAAAGCTTATGTTATTAATAAAAATTAAATACGAATAAAAGTGTTTTATTGAAAAGAGGGTTTTGTAATATAAAATACTCTGAAACGTAAACCTACAGACAATTTTAATATTTCACTAAATAAGAAGTAAACTGCAAATATTCATTTAATATGGTTGAATACATACGATTTCATAGGCCAACAAATCGAAATTTTCAAGCCCCATTGTATGGGAGGTATACCAAATCATGGTCCGATCAATTCAATTTTTTGTCACTTGTTTTATAGCCCAAATTAGAAGTAAACTGCAGATTTTCGTCGAATTTGGGTTAATACATTCGTTTTTATATCCCAAAAGAGAGAATTTTTCAAGACCCATTGTATGGGAGGTATACCAAATCATGGTCCGATCAATCCAATTTTTTGTCAACTGTTTTATAGGCCCAATTAGAAGTTACATGCCAATTTTCATCAAATTTGGTTGAATATTAACGATTTTATAGGCTAAAAGAGTGAAATTTTGAAGACCCTATATATGGGAGGTATACCGAATTTTGGTCCAATCTATCCAAATTTTTGTAATTTGCTTTTTAGCCCAATAATAAGCATCTGTACAAAATTTCATCCACCTACGACAACTCTTTCTATTTTTGGCCGCCGTTTGTATGAACTCGCGACATAGTGGAGCGTACACAACTACAAGAAAACATATGACTTTGTTAAATCTTGATGGGAATTAAAACTATTAACAAAAATTTCTACATTGGCGTTTATTTTTTGGAGGGGGTCTTCTCAACCGGTTTATATCTAAACATAAATGTATCATTCTTCCAATGATTCAGTATCTGCAACATTAACTAATTGAATTTTAAAGAAATTCTTTGCAAGGAAGTTTTTAATAATAAATAAATTTAGAGCACCTGTTATATGGGGTTATACCTATTTATTTTGAATCAAAAATGTAAAATATATATCTCTTATTTTCCGAACACTGGAAATTCGATTAGAAAGTATGACAACACAAATACCACTGACCTGACTGATAGTACCAATATAATTAATATGAATTTAAAGATCAACCACTCCTCTTGGAAATATTGACAACTTCCCCGATCAATGTCCTTCTGGAGTAAATACATATGTAAATTTTACAATTTTTCATACAAAATTCTGGGTTAATTTGACCCGTTGAGTATTAACAGATCTTCATGAAAAGAGTAATTCTTATTCCCTGGCTAGTGAACATTTTAAGTGTAAAACTTCGTGATTCGCGGAAAAAAAGAGACAAAACCAGTAAGGAAAATTCGGATGCCTGACTATATGATACCCTTCACCACTTTGGGTACATACAAGAGAGACTCGTATGCGTAATATCCTGTAGATATAACAGACTTATCAGGTTGGTAGAACCATTGAAATGGAATCGGACGAAATTAAATGTGTAAACTACATAAATATTTGAACTAATTTAACGACACATACACATACCATTCTGGAATTTGTGAAAAATTACTTGTCAATCTTACAGACTTGGGCTCCTGCGATTTGTATGAATTCGAGCAAAATTATTTATGGGAGCCATATGTAAATCTGGACCTATTTGAGCATGCGTGGCATCCACTATTTCGTATGCACATTCAATTGCACCATTTGCATAAAAGGTTATTATTTCTTTCCAAAATCCAGTAGGGAATACCATGAAATATTTATTATGGATGAACAAAGTAATTACTTCCAGACGGACGCGTTAAAAACATCATTTTCATTTCAATTAAATTTTAAAATATTTTGAATTTTTTTTGACATAGTATTCAAAACAATACACACATATACACAAAATATGTATTTTGATTTGAAGGAAAAAGCCACCTTGAAAAAAAAATTGTAATCAGTTGGTAGCTGTGCCCTACCTTGTAATAATTATACCATGGTTGAAACCAAAAAACTGAATAGTATGTATTATACTTAGAGCATAATTAGAGGATGTTGCTACTTCCAGAGAGCAACAAAGAACTTTTACAAAATTGTCAAGAAGACAATTGCGAGATAGTTCCAATCCTCTTGAATTGCCACAATCATTGTAAGTGCATAAAAGTTAAAAATAATTGGCACAATCAACATTTAGTTCTATCGAAGCTCACCTTTGTCCTAAGTGGATAAAAGCCCAAAAAAGTTCCTGTTCCTGTTTTGTATTTTAAATTCTGTGCGGCTTTTTGCCTTACATATTTTTTTGGTCATCCCAAAACTATTCATTAAGAATGAATGGATTATTTTATTCAAATGAATGTGATAAATTTAGTACTAAACGCTTTTCCTTATTTGGTGGTCCCATCGAATTAAGGTAATTTTCCGTTTTTTTTTTTTTTTCAAAAGTAAAAGATTCTTTGCTCCCTTTATAGATTCAACGTGAAATGTCAGGATGTAATTCCAAAACTGACTCTAAGTGCTGCAATTGGGTTTTATTTGTCTTCGACCTAGAAATAATTAATTTATTTATTTCTATTTCGATTTATATTTGAATAATCATACTTACATTTTTATCTCCCTTCAATTTTGTTTGTGAGATATTTTGAGAGGAAAAACACAAATCGAACTTTCTTATGATACCTACTATTTCTCCTTTATCCCTTTAATTCCGCGCGGAATTTTTTTTTATGATTGGGAAAAATGGAGTATAAAGAAATTCCACAAGTAATTGTTTTTGACGATTGGGCTGAATACTTTGGACCACTCAAAAATAAAAATATTTCAATCTGGTAACGCCTCATCATGACATACTGGCCGTCAAATTTAGACACAAATTTATGTCTAAAATACATAAATATATCGTGACTCTTAAAAATTAATTTTTTTTCAATATTGGCTGGACAACAAAAACGACATCCAATCCAAACAGATTTTTCAGAAGAGTTGTTTGTCAGAAAGTGAATCTAAATTGTACAGGATATTCCATACCCATTTTTTTGCGGCTTCATTATCAAATCGAGAGAAATATATATATATATATATATATATAACCGATTTCTCTCAAATTTTGCAGAAGTATTTTTTTTATTGCATGTTATAAACATCCAAACGAAATTTGAAAGGACTAGCTGCTTCCAGTGTTGTCGAAAAGATAATGCTGAAAAAACTTTTAAAAGTTTAAAAAATTTTAAACTATTTAGCCTTTTTGGAGAGATATCACATGAAATAGAATAGATTGATTGATTTCGGTATTAATGGTTGTTTTGTTGTATTATATTTTAATATACAATAATGTTTATAAGCCTTAAAATTAATAAATGTTTTCCAATTTCATTGTATACAATACAAAAAATTCTCTCCCAATTCGTTACATCATAATATACATTTTACGTTTTCTTAAAAAAAAAAAAACAAATATAAGCATACGAAATTTCAATGGGCGTTCTACTGAAACCAAACATGAATTCTATTTTCTGGATTCTCATTTAAATAGTAAAGGTAATAATTAGACACAATCGTATATATTCACACACTGAATAACATGCTGATATGTGTGCACGTATGTATTTATATTGATGACATTCCTCAAATAACCTACGGCAATAATAAACACACAAATCTTTTATTTGTAATATGTTTTTGTTCGCTGTGAAAGTTTTTAATCGGTTTATACCTCTAAAGATTTTTAAATGATTGAATAGCAAGATTTGGTTGACAGGATTATTATTTTCAATTCGCAATTAATGTCAATGCCTTTAAGGTATAAAAATACTTTCATTTTTTTGTGAGCTTTAGATATTTGTAAAAAATAAAAAGTAGCTTAATATATTGATAATTATGTAATATCATATAAAACAATATTCAATTGAAATGAAAATTTAAATTAAAAAAATGCGGGAAATAATTATGTTTTAACTTCTTCCGTTTAATTTAAGGGGACCCCCCGACCCCATTATCGTTGTCAAAAAATTTTATTTAGTTCTTCGAATCTACACTAATTCAAGAATGTCGCTACAAAATGTCAAGTAATAATCTCAAGAACTCTTCAAGATATAGTCGATTTATTGTGTCAGCATCA